TCATTCATCGATCAATATAAATTAAAACTTGTCAAATGTAAAGAAAGACTATCACACTTTGAAAATTTTAAAAACGGCCAAAACTTTGTCAAATGTAAATATAAATCATTCATCATCAATACAAAAAAATGAATACATTGGGTACGTTTTTTAGATATTAGTGGTGGAATTGTTTATTGCGAACCTTTAACCCTATCCTAATATAATTATTTTATAAATGTTACAATTGAAAGCAAAAATGTTATTTCGGAAATAAACAGTTTTGAACCTTTAACTAAATAGCTGAATCTCTCATTCTTGTAGTCCATTAGTTATGGACTGATTGATTATGTATACGTATCGTAAAATTCATGCAACTTGCTTTCAGGCAAGATGCTACTTACAGCTAGTTAAATCATACATAAGTATATTTTCTTTTTCTATTGCTTATCCCGAGATGGCGGTTCAAAAGCCATTCGATTCGTATATTTTGATAAGAATTAAATCAAACAAATTGATCGAACGTTGAAATCGGAATGAATGCGGGATTCGAATTCGAATTCCCTTCGGCGGTGAACGTTTTGCATACAGGCGCACAGACGTGGCTAAAGACAGACCTTGTTGACGACCTACTTCTAACTATAACATTACATCCATGGTAAATGACTTTTTATATAAGTCTTGATTAATGGACTTGATAAGTAATATAATATAAGATAAAATATAACTTAATAAATTAATTATTAATCTGAAAAGGCAAATTTTCCACGATCGACCAAGTATATCTAATATTATACAATCCTGATTAATGTGCCTACTTTCGATAAAACTTGCAAACACACATTAGTACATTTTTTTCAAAGAGCCTTTCAAAGTCGACCAATTTCTTAAATATTAAACTTTCTAGAAAATATATTTTAATTACATTATATTGTGAGGAGCTGCAATGGTCAGTTATCCTTCATGCAACATGATATATTCTTCAAAAATGTTAGATTTGTTATATGTTATAGAGATTGCTATAATAAATGCAAAAAAATTGTTTATGTATTTATAATTTTAGTTTTCTGATCTAAAATCTTATTTTCTTAGAAATTATTAACTTCATTTTCCATTTATAATTATTTCTACATTTTGAAAATATGGGCAAAATTCATTATTTAATATACACACTTGCTAAAATTTGACTGATATTTACTCAAAATTGCAATTATGATGAAACATTATAATTAATGATAATTTAAGTGAAATGCACTAGCAAAAGACGTGTTATTTTTAGGCTTTTATTTTCTTACTTACTCAAGTTTTTAATATGAAACTATAATGTATTTCACCATTTTCCAATATGATTTAATGCGCAAACTTTCGATGGAACTTTAGTACAGATGAAAACACACTTTAGTACATTTTTTTCACAAGAGAGCTTTTCAAAGTCGACCAATTTTAAAACATTTAAATTCATAGTTTTTACAAAAAAAATTTTTTGAAACCTTGAAGCTATTGTGTAATATTTTTGACTGTGGTAGAAATGTTATGGACGATCACAGATTTTGAGTGAAAGTGAACAAAATTATTAAAATTTAACCACAATAACTCTAAAATGGTCACAGTTTCACCAAAGCTCTTAGATTGCACTTAAAAGCTCATAATTTTCAAACAGTTACGATTATCCGTTGTGTTCTGGGACACTCTGTATATATATTTCTGTTCGTGTGTTCGTGTATCATGTTTTAGCAACAAGTAATTAAATTGTAAATATCAGCTAAATACATTAATGTTCATTTGATTTATTGGTTCGAGAAAGTAAACGCCATAGTAAAAATCAATTTTATTTATAACGATCATAAATTCGTATGAGTTTCGAATTTGAATACTAATTAAAACGATTTTAGTACTTGCAAAATCGCTATTACCCATTAAACAAAATTTTTCTCCCTTGTTTATTAAACTAATTGTTTTTGAAATTCTTGGACATGGTTATAAAATATAAATATAATGTTTGCTGAAGTAATTAATCTGGAGAAATGAGTCGCAACTTTTTGTTCAATATATTTATAGTGTAAAAACGTTTTGTATATATATATAATGGAAGTGTATTTTAAATTTTACAGTTGTGATAATAATTAACTGCATGTGTGACTCGGTACTTAAATACACTCATTATGAGGCATTAAATAAATATCAGAAAATGCTGTTAAGTTTCGTTTTATAACTTCCTATACTTTTTAGACATATAAAAGCTCATTAAGATTGATTAGCTTTAGCATATCTAGAACTTTGTCATTATTGTATTTTATACTTATGTACTGAATAATTTCTTCAGTTTCTTGAATTAATACGAATTTATATTTTTATATACATTGACGGTGTTCTATTCAAACTCTAAAAATTAAATTATTTGTCATAAAAGTCGAACGAAAATTTTTCACTTTTGTTTATATGATCTAAGTAAATTAATTCGGCAAATCATTAAGCAACTTGCACATGTCAGAGAATAATAAAACATTTAATATGTTTTGAATCAAGGTTATTTTCACCATTGAATATTTTATATCGAAATACATCAACAATAAAATTAAGTGGAGTGGAACTATTTAACATTAATAAATAAATATATACATATAAATGTTTATATATATACATATATATATATAGAAGATATATATATATATATATCTACATCTATATCTTTAAGAGTACTAATAAATAATTAGTCCGGATATAGTAGCAAGAACTTGCGTGAGATTTAAAAAATTATTATCCGACACGCAGTCTGTAGCAAAAAATTGATTTAAATACATAATGAACATATATTGTAAAAAAAACTAATATAAAATAACACAATTTATATTTTAATAATGCAAATTATAATTTTTTGCATCCGCACATAGTTGTATCTGAGTTTATTCCATATTTATAATTTTTAATAATTATATAATCGTGTTGACTTAACTGTAATTAATTGAATATTCTACTAACTTGTAGATTCTACTAGCTGTAAATTTATGTTGCAAGAATTAAAATAAGAAATATATTTGTTTGTATTTTATAGTTAAATATTAAAATTGATTTAGCATAAACGATGGTATTCAGAACTAAAACAAAGTGGAAAAGGTACCAAAAAAATTGTCAAATCCATCAAGTTACTGTTGTATACTGTTTTGTCCATAACCAATAAAATTATTTCTATTTAAATATTTATAATAGTAATGATAAGTGTAAATATCATGTCTGGTTGACCAATTACGGTTCTGATTTTAAAATTATTTGCAAACCGGCGCTCATTTTGAAAACACAACAGAATCTCAAACGCGTTCAGCATTTCTAATCCGACAGACTATGTCTACATTCTTTCTAAAAATCTACGGGTTAAAAACCTTAAAATGACTTACAAATGTAATAAAATTTATTCAACACATTAATCGCCATGTCAGTCATAAGTGTCTGAAGCTAAAAGGTTCCACATGAACCATGGAAGGCTTATATGTCTGACAAATCAACATGAAAATTTTTTGGCTTCTCGAGAAAATATTTGAATATTGGACCATGCCATCATATATGTGTAAAATAAAAAATAATATATTTCCAGAGTTTTTGGCATTTTTTTCTTTCTTTGATACATTAAGGATCCTTAATATATTTTCAACTGAATTATCTAATAAAGTTAACATGGCCTATGTGATTTTTTATATTATTGATGCGATTAGCGTTTTAAATTGGTATATATTACATTAATCTTTTATCATAACAATTTAAAAAAAGTTTGTTTAATAAAGCTTACTATTGGCGACAGAAACACTTTATTAAATGTAAGAAAAATATATCAATTTTTTATAAGAAATTTAATCTCCAGAAATGTATTTTTTCCTTAGATGAGATGGATTTTTTCTAATTTCGCCCCTTAATCCGTTGAAAGAGTAAATTTATTGAAATGTTTCCAATCCCCGTAATAGTTCTTAGAACACACCTCTAGAATACATTTTCGAAAATTTTATGCATGCGAAACAAATAAAATTCATATGCGCAAATTCGCAATAGTTGCGTGGAACAAAACCTCTCTTGTTTTCAAAATGTTGAACGCAATAGTACATCTAAAAACAATTAACTTTTATGTTTTGTAATTTTAATTATTTTATATAAATATTTTAATGTGTATACATAATTTCTCTATGCATCATGAACACATGAACTCAAAATATTTATAATGACAGAAAAATATCAATTATCGTTAAGAAAATTAAAGAAAATTGAAGGAATCAAAATAAAAATATCTAAATCTCAACACAATTTGGTCAAAATTTGCACCATTTGGATTGGATTTAAAATTTTGAATGTTAACTATCATGCAATTGAAATCCAGTAATAGATTCGATTTTAATTTGATAAGCTAATTATCATAGTAAATAAATAATTTCATTACCATTTTCTGATTTTAGGTTTCATCACAACTGGAGATGTGGAGAGTTGAATTAGAACACAGTGAATTATCTCGAGATTGTCAGAAAGCGGAACAGTTTTTGAGATTACATAATGAATCAGTTCAGCAAATGCAGAACACGACCTACCAGGTTTTGCAGCAAGGTCAGGATTTGCTACAAGCTTTGGAAACCAGTGGAGCAAGAGTCATGTCTGATGCTCAGTATAATGCACAAACCAGGGTAGAGGTAAGCGAATCGTATAGTCACCAAGTTGATTCAAAACATGGTGCTGTTTGATAGACTGAATATGTATCTATTCATTTCAGGCTTTGTTGGAGTTTCTCCATGATAGCGAATTGGATCTAGAAGATCGAGCGGAATTGAAACGCGTGAGACTCGAGCAATGTGTTCAACTCTGCCAGTATCAGAATGACGCCAACCAGGTTCTAAGTTGGATAAGAAATGGCGAAGCTATGTTGATGGCTAGTTTTACCATTCCCAGCGATCTTACTGATGCTGAAATGCTCAAGAAAGAACATGAACAGTTCCAAGTTGCCATTGAGAAAACTCATACTTCAGCCGTCCAGGTGAGTAAATAGACATAATAATAATATTTAAAAATAACTAAATATGATTAAATTAGCTGCGAATTATGTTCTTCTGTTATGTTGTTCTGTATGTTATTTATACAACTTTTGTTATCTAGGTGAAATTCCGAGCAGACTCCTTAGTAGCTGCAAACCATTACGATCCGACAACTATTCAAACGATTTCCGATGAAGTCACCAAACGGTGGCAACAATTGGTGACATATGCTGAAGAAAGACATAAACTAGTCACGGCCAGTTTGAATTTTTATAAAACTGCCGAACAAGTAAGAAATAGCATATGCAATGCATTGCTTTATTTTCGATTTCAACTTAATGTTGTAACGGTTACAAATTTTATATTATTATTGCAGGTATGCTCTGTCCTGGATAGTTTGGAAAGAGAATATAGACGCGATGAAGACTGGTGTGCAGGCACCACGAATGGCAACTCCTCTCAAAATGACAAAGCTAGTACAATAGTTCAATTCATTAATAAGCATCAAGAGCAAAAAGAAGCTTTCCTAAAAGCTTGTACCCTGGCTAGAAGAACAGCCGAAACTTTCCTTAAATACACAACCAGAAGTCTCCAATTCTACAGTTACCCAGGAACCGGAAGTTCCGAAGCAAGAGTCAGAAGCATTTTAGAAAAGTTGTTGTCACAAGAAAATAAAGTTTTAGAATATTGGACTCAGAGGAAGAAACGTTTAGATCAATGCCAACAATATGTACTGTTTGAAAGATCTGCTAAGCAGGCTATAGAATGGATACATGAAACTGGTGAGAATTATTTGGCAACCAGGGCTGCCAGCATTGGAGGAAGCAGAGAAGAAACTGAAGATCTTTTGAGGGAGCATACGGAGTTTAAAGGAACTGCCAAAGAAACGAGGGAACGAGTAAAGTTGCTAATACAGTTGGCTGATAGTTTGGTAGAGAAAGGACATGCTCATGCTAGTTCTATTAAGCAATGGGTTGCCGCCGTTGACAATAGGTAATTAGATCTACTACCGAATATTCCTCTATTTAACTAATTTTATTTAAATGTAAATATGATTTTTATTTATTATAGGTATAAAGATTTTAGTGCTCGTATGGACGCTTATAGGCAACAATTGGAAGGCACTCTTGGTCTTCCTGCGGTGGTACAAGAGGAAGTTCCGGTGCCGGAACCTACAACGAAATCTAGTCATAGTGATAGACATTCAGACCCATCACTGGAGGCCAAATTGAAAGAAGTATCTTCCAAGGAAATGAAAGAAGTTAATGAAGAAAAACGGAAATCCGCTAGACGAAAGGAGTAAGTAATACTAACACATTTAGAGATTTCGAATTATTAACAATGATATTAACATTAACTGTTTATGATTGTGTTTCAGGTTTATAATGGCAGAACTTTTGCAAACGGAGCGTACCTATGTTAAAGATTTAGACATTTGCATAAAATGTTTTCTGAACGAAATGCGAACGAACCCAAGTAACGTCCCGACTGCAATACAAGGAAAGGAAGATATACTCTTTGGAAATATGGAAGAAATTTATCAGTTCCATAATTCAATATTTTTGAAAGAATTGGAAAAATATGAAACAATGCCAGAAGATGTCGGACATTGTTTCGTAACTTGGTAAAATTATAATAATACATATAATAGTATATAAGTTTATATATATATATATATTAATATATATATAATGTTTTATTGATTAACATGATTCCTACCTTTTTCAGGGCATCGAAGTTCGATATGTATGTGCACTACTGCAAAAATAAGCCTGAATCCAATACACTCTTGGTCCAACATGGAGGTACATATTTCGACGATTTGCAACGTAAAGCAAAGATTGAGCATCCATTGGCTGCTTATTTAATCAAACCTGTACAAAGAATAACCAAATATCAGTTACTGCTTAAAGATCTGCAGGCATGTTGCTTAGAAGGACAAGGAGAAATCAAGGTAAATATGATAAAAAATAGTGATAAATATTCTTCAAATTGACACGTTTTATTCATTTATTTGTGTATAATTTTTCCAGGATGGCTTAGATGTGATGTTAAACGTCCCAAAGAAGGCTAATGATGCGATGCATTTATCTCTCTTGGAACAATGTGATGTGTCTGTGGATTCTTTGGGAGATGTAGTTTTACAGGATGGGTTCCATGTGGTCGATCCAAAACATTTGATAAGAAAAGGACGAGATCGACATATATTTTTGTTTGAATTATATTTATTATTCGCCAAAGAAGTTAAAGACAATAATGGCAAAGCCAAATATATTTATAAGAATAAATTAATGGTAAGTAGATGTGGAGGAATACTACTTAGTTCATTGTAGTAATACTCTATTATAATTTATAAAACAATCATATCGTATATTGGTTTACTAAAAATATTATGAAAGATTTTAAGAGGTATTGTGGAGAAACGATATTCAAATTTTTGTAGTTTAAATTATATCAGTGCCAAGACTTGCAGTCTTTCCTAATACCTCAGATAAAATAACCATATAATTTTGATACAATTTAATTAGTTGATCAATAGGTTGCTATGCACCATATTTCGACTGAAATTAGCAACTAGTCATAAAGTATTAGTTTCGATAAAGTAACTAATGGTTCTATATGTTTTAGTGTATTTTTATTGCATATAAAATTATGTATTCAGACATATTTTATTATATATTTATTTTATTTCAGACTTCAGAATTAGGCGTAACAGAACACATAGAAGGCGACGAGTGCAAATTCGCCGTCTGGACGGGTCGACCGCCCCTAAGTGATTACAGAATAATTTTAAAAGCTTCTTCCTTAGAAGCAAAACAAATGTGGGTCAAAAGACTCCGAGAAGTCATTCAAGAGACCTACTTCAGCAGTGCATTGCCAATGCACATGCCTCCTAAATCTCCTGGAAAAGGAAAACATAATGCTAGTCAGAGAAGTAGCAGGTAATTGATCAACTTCATATTAAAAAATAGTAGGAAGATTTTTATAGCTTGACTACTTGGTAATTATCATTTAATTATATTTTTTGAGTATTTTAAATTCAAGTCGTGCAATGTTTAAATGAAACAAATATTGAAACAAACCTATCAAATTGTAAATGACTATTAGAATTTTTAAATTACTTCCAGCAGTTTATTATATTTTTACATATTTAATATTGAAGACTAACAAAAATGCTTAGGACAATTTGTGATCAATTCCATTTTTCAGTTAAAAATTAAACTAATTTTATTGTATTTCCTGTTGAAAGACCTTCTAATATTATATATAATATTATGATTTTATTCGAATATATTTATTTAATTACAATCATTTTTTGGTACTGTGATCTTGATCCTTGTTATCACTAACCAACTTGATTTAAAATTTCATCCCAATATTAAATTTTTATTTAGTTTTAATAATGGTAATAATGAATTAGTATATAATAGATTCAATTATTATTCAAACAATAAACTAATATTACAATACTTACTTAATAATAATAAACTAATAATACAATATTTATTTAATTTCAGGGATCTAGAAGAATGTACATCTTTGGACGAAAGTGCAGAAAACTTGGATAGAAATTCGTTGGCCTCTTTCGGAAGTGGAAACACCACAGATTCAGACAAGGTAAGTAAAAATTTTTATAACTAATTTTAGACTTGAGAAATTTATGAGAGGAGGACATTGAACATACTCATTAGTATTAAAGATTATAAAGAGGGGTACTAATTTTGATCCGATGACATTAATAAATTATCGATAGTCAAATATTTGATTTGCTAGGATGTTCCATAAAATTATCTATTTTTATTTGGTTTCTGTATTTATGCAGATGTTACTGAATAAGTCCGAACTTTTTAATTAAATAATCTATAAAGTTATAATTTAAAACCAATATATATTTCAATATAAATCTGAAAATTGGAGACAAATGAAAATGTGTGCAAATTAACACACGTTTTATACTTTCCAATACCATTGTGATATTTTGAATTTAACATTAATAAAACCATATAAAATTTCTATGTAAAATTTTTAGTACAGGCCAGAAACAATCTTCAATTTTCTAATAATAGTCCGATTATATTATAAAAATATTTGGTTTCACCTTTTATGGATGCCGAATAAGTTCGACCTAGTTTAATATAAAATAATTTAAAAAAAAAAATCAATTTGAGATCTTTTTCACAAATTTTTGTCTATATGCGTTTTATCTCTAATCGTGTATATAATTCTGGTCCATTTTAACCGACATGGTTCGCATCTTTCTGGATTTCTTCAACTTCAGCACGTTTTTCCTGTAAATATTTTGACATCTGTACAAATAAATCGACGTCCGTTACGTGTTCGCAAAATATCCGGTTGTAAAATAAATTCTTTGATAATCTCGAGATTGATTTTAAAACTCGAGTTTTGTATAAACCTAATGATACAAACTTAACATTAGTTTACTTGCTGAACTTAACAGATAAATTCGCATTTTCATCGCAACGTTTTGATTTGCTTTTTTAATCTGGTGTCTGACCTTAAACTTGTTTGTGTATGATTGTAAACAACTTTTTTGTATATTTCGGCGTATTTTATCACAGAAGGCCAAATGTACTAAATACGGAAGTCTTAGTCATTAAATGAGATATAAAATTATTTCTGCTACGCGAACGTGGAAATGATGATACTTTTCACTGGCACTAGTAATCTTATCACTTTTAAAAAAATATATATTCTTTTTGTATAAGTTTGCTTTGCTTACAAGTAAGACAAGACAATGTTTGATTTTTTCTTAAGATGCTTTTAGATTTGACAAATTGTAGTGCCTAAGCAAATAATCGAATCTTATCCCAGAATAGGTTTAAAACACCTCCAATGCGTGTTTTTTTTTAATAATAATAATTTTAATATTTTTTTAATAATTTAATAATTTTTTGAATAACTTTAATAATGTTGGCCTGGCCGATCTTTTCTAAGAACTATTCAGCGCGATTCTAAACTGATACCTATGGAACAGGTTTTGAATTTTCAAATAGGTTCAGAATTTTTGATGAAAACGTTCTCGAAAATTTTGGCACTTACCTACTGGCCGAAGACGTTGAGGAAATTTAGACTCATCTATACAAATGCTTTTCCCAATATTGTCAGAGAAAACATAAAATTAAAAAATCGGATTTTCTGGCGAAAACATGATCTTATTTTTCGGTAAGTTCTAAATAAAACTAATTTTTAATATCTTTGCATAAAAATCAAATAATTTAATCTCATATTCAAGACCGATGCCTTATATATAAGTATAAAGTTTTGAACTTCGATAGTTAAAATGTATCTTATTGTAAGTTCAAATTTTATAAAGTTTGTTGAAAAATCACGTTTATTGAATGAATAGTATGAAGTATTTTAATTTGACTATTCTCACAAAAAACTATGTTTTGGACTTTAAAATTGCGTCTTTTAGATTTTATCGGCCGCATCTTAGAAACAGCTAAAACTGATACTAGTAGTTTAAAAGTAGCTCGGACTGCCGCTGGCTCGTCACTATTCAAACTAAAACTTTATTTGTAATTTATCATACCAAGCAGTCAAAGTATTTTCTTCTATGTATACCTTTATTTAAATTCGTTTCTATTCGAATCAATTTTATGAGTTATTTTTATTATTGCAGTAGGCGTCCGGTCAATGCAAAAACTGTTCTTTACATAAATCGTCCATTTGATTTCATTCAAAGAAATTGTACTGTACCCATGTTAGTGACATATTGACAAATAATAGTCAGATATTGAAATTAATTTAGGTATCTGTACGAACATATCCATGTTTCAGACATTATATATGTCACATGCACAACTGAAAGCTGTTCGTTTTGAATATATCGATCACTTCCAATAATATCGAACCGCAATTGATGGATTTACTTGTGGGCGATTTTGTAATTATCAATCGAGAATTTATTATGGAGGTGGAACTATTTTGATTCTGAACGCGATTCTATTTATAGTAAATGCATTGTTAATTAAATTTTATTTCAATTAGAAATGTTCATTTTAGGTATCTAGGTATCTAGGAAATATTGTTGTCACATGGTACGCGTTTAAAGTTGAAGTAGAGTAAATATATTTAAAAAAATGTATATAATATGAAAATATTAAGCACATATTCAATTCTTCAATTCCTGCTCTTAGTTTTTGTCATTATTTCACTAAAAATAATTTATTTTATTAGAAATGTTGAATATTAAAACTTATGTATACGAATTCATTTATCGAGTGCACGATTTTATTAATAGCAGTTTTAATTCAACTGCGATCTTAATTGAAACTCCACGTGCAATTGTGTTTTTTTCATAAAGTAAATAGACTTATTTTTGAATAAATTTTAATTTTTCATGCTTTTAGGAGTTTCTGTAAATTTTGCGACGGCGTTTTGTTTGGTTAACTAATGAAAATGGAGGCACAATATGTATATTGATTGCTATGATTACATTTGTTTCCTGAGGCAATAATTTTGTAATTTTGACATTTTTCTAGATGCATCATAGTTTGCATTGGACGTGGTTAGAATGGAACATTATTGATAATTTTAATATTTTTAGTAAATCGGTTTGCTACTTTTAACTAACATACAAAATTTTATACAAAATTCTCCCAAATATTCTAGAAAGTCTGTGTAACGGGGATTCAAGATTAGTATTGAAAATCAACATGTTTATTAATGTACATGCTACATTATTACAGTTTTTAACTGATATACTTCTTAATATATTACTTATTATATTTTTTTTATATTTAATAATGTATCTATTATTTGTGCTTAAATCAAATTTTACTCACACTCATATTTTTTTTTTCTTAGTACCCAATGCGCATCCAGTTTTTCATATTTTTTTATTGTGTGAAAACAAAATTTTTGGTCGACGTTTTCTTCAAAAATTTTAAATCAGTTTTGGAAATTTAAAAACTTTCCGATAGATATCAGTTGGGAATCGTGCTGACTAGTTTTTCGTAAAGATGATAAAGAAGACAAATAAATGTTTGATGTTTTTATGAAACTATGTATGACTATAGTCTGAAATAACATACTAAAATATTATAGGCTTACGATAAGCGGTTGAATAATAAAAATTCACCAAAAATACACGATTATAATCAGAATGTATGGTAGCTACTGATTACAGTTGATATCCACCTTGAATAAAATACATTATCAGAACATAAAATAGATTAAATTCCTTAAACAAATTAAATTAATTTATACAATTACAGATATAGTAAGTATATTTGAAATACATCAATTGAAAATCATATTGATTATTTTTCAGTCAAAGCGAAAATTTTATTCTAGGAATAAGCGGTTGAACATTTCACCTAAAAAAAAAAACAGGATCTCAATTCTGAATTAAGTTGATTATGTATACGTATCGGTGAGTTTCGCAGCTTGCCTTAAGGCAAAATGCTACTTACAGCTAGGTATTACATATTTGGCCCTTTGTTTAAATTGTCCTTTCAACAAAATCCTTGATTCCGACCCTGTTTTGATCGGATTCCCTACCAGAGGCGCGCATGCTCCCGCAGGCGGCAGATAAAGCGCGCGTGTGGCACCCACGCGACTTTTTCTCGGCGAAAAAAATTTATTAGCTTTCTTCTCACGTTTTGTTAAAAATAAAAACGGCATTCATTAACATACTAGAAACAATATTGTATTTTGGTATGAAATAAATTAATTTTTTTGTCGAAATTGTTATAATTGTCAAGGCATTTGTGTATTTAATTTGTTGCTTCGGCAAGAACTTTCCGATATGTCTTTAATCAACCGAAATTGAGATTTAGCTATTTAGATAAAAAATTCAACTGTTTTTGTCGAAAATATAGTTTTCGCTTTTACTAGAAAGTAAAAATTGCTATATCCAATTGATATTTCTGAAACACATTTATAACATCTGTAATTGTATTAATTATAGTGATCCATAAAATTATGAATAATATTATGGTTTTATATTGTTATAAATTTTATATCAAGGTAAGATAAAATTCAATAACAAAATTAGTAACTTTCTTCTGTAACTATCCTTTGAACTAAATAATACTTGAAATAATAGCAAAGTAGCTATGTCTTTTTCCCTTTAAAAGCCCTTTCCATTATTATTATTATTATTAGTTCTGTGTTTTTCTATGTACTGAAGACAAACTTTAATTAATTTTCACAAACTTGAATAACAACCTTAGACACTATTTCTCGTTCTACTGAATTATTTGAAATTCTGTAGACAAACAACATTCATTACCTTTGGCAAATGTTATTTATTTAGAACTGTTTTCAAAATAAAACACAGCTCCATTATATGCTGCGCTTATTTCAGTGTACCGGCAGGTATTACCTTTTAGCAATTGCTATAAACATTTCGAATTAGTGTAATAATGTCTTCTCTTTCATTTGTATAAACAATTCATTATCTCAAATTAACCCTTATCTTTTGAAACACAACATCTCTGAATTTTTGCTTACTTGTTTGCATTCTGACTAGCTTCGATCACTACCCACTTTTGGGGATGTTGAATTTACATCCAGGGGTTTGTTGTCTTTTTCCATTCGTATGTTTACATATACAAATTTATATGGCTATATATATATATATATATATA